ATGAAAACAATGTGTTTCATGGTAAGATAAATCTTTGGCTACATCCAATTGCTCCACCAATAGTGAATTTTCTTGAACTAGGAGTCATGGCAATAGTGACTCATACCTTCATCAATTCCTAGTTAAAATACCAATTCAATCTACATGGAACTATTCTTGAAGATCACTTGGAAATTACAGTTGGCATAGAATGAAATTGCCCATCCACTGAGTAATAGGTGCTACAGCAGAGGCACCTTAATGCTATGGGAGTTGCACTGGTTACAAGTTGGCTTCTGGGGAAAATTCAAGGTGCTGGTTATCACATATTGTATTAAGCCCTGTATGATTGTTCTCCTTATCTTCAGGACCATTCATCTTAGGTAGATTCTATTGATCTAATTCTTGAAGCTTGTGAAGCATGCTGTAATTTCCACATTCTGGGGGAGAAATCTTGACTTATAAAGTCAGAGTAGTAACTTCTTATCATTCAGAATACTATTTAAAAATTATCTACAGGGTCTTGAGAGAGAAAAGCCCCATGGAAGATCGATAGCTGGGGAATTGATTGATATCAGTGTTACTGATTTTGTTTTATGTTGATTTAGTTGGTGTATTGGTTATAATTCAAGCCATCTAAACTGTTGATTTAAAATTTTAAATGAACTTATAACAACATCAAAGGCTTTTTTTTCTCTTACAATTATGAAATCATTACTGATTTCAATTTTTATGAAGTATGTATCCATTATATTAGTAACAAAGTATTATAAGACACCTCTTTTTATAAAATCAGATTGTGCCAGATGGATAATCAAGAATCGTATTATCTGAAAACTGCATGTTGTTTTGGCATCAGTATTAAAAAAGTTGTATAGCCAACAGATTCTTTAGAAGCTATCAAAATCACAGCTATTTAGGGCTCACTAGGAGAGGCTAGGAAAATGTTTTTCAAAAAAAAATATTTTAAAACTCCAGTTGTACTGGAAGTTTTGGTGTGTATGTATGTGATAGTCAATGTGGTTTAGAACTTTTAGAACTTTTCCTCCTTTCATAGATGCAATACTATCACTAATTATTGGTTAAATTGGAATTATTAAATATTTTATCCCAATATTTTTGATAATAGAAATATTAGTTCAACTGCATTTATCAAAAGGCCAGTAGTTTACTGGATCTTTCTTCTCACTATCAATATATGTATTAAGTGCATAGAGGGAATTAATTTCTTGCCCTACACTCTGAAAATCCTTTATGTAATGTGGATGCATTTTTACCTTTGCATTCAAAAATATTTTTTCTTCTTTTTCTCAACATTTCTGAGTTAATTTTTTCATGGAATAATAATACAACTATAATGCCTTAAAGGTGTCTCAAATAGTAACTAGATTATAAGTTACTGAATCTAGGGAGAAAATTTTAAATCACATTTATCTATCCATTCAACTAAACACCAAAATATTAAATAGCAATTGAGAACAAATCTGGAGTTTAGTATGCCCTTGCTATGATTAATTTTAAAGCTCCTGTCCCTAAATTAAGTTCTAATATAAAAATTTGTAAAGTTTTCCATTTCAAGAATTAAATTTAGGTGGAATAACATTGTGATGTAATAAAGAAACTATCTGATCTCCTCTACTAAAGTAAAAAGATCTAAAACATCCTGTGTGATATATCTGGATAATCCTTAGACCCTACATTCAGTAGGGTTATTTAATGATCATTGTTAAAAATTGTTCTGTATCACTTATTGTTTTATGATTAGAACAGTAAATCAGAGACCCTATAGATCTAGTACATGTTGAATTTCCACAAAGATACATAATAATAAATGTCCTGCATATATATTTCTTTTGTGGAATATGTTTCTTGTAAAAAAACCAATGTCAGATTTTAAATTGCACAATTTAATACTTACAAGAATACTTAAATCTTTTATATTCCAAGAAAATAACAGTAATGTCATCTTACATTAAAATTCAAAAGGGAGAGGGGCTAGGAAAAAAGTTGCATATGCAGAGACTACCGTAATTTCAAGAATGAAAAAAATTGTTGACATACATAATAATTTTGGAACTTTATTATTTTGAGAAATTTAAAACTTCTTCATATAATTGGTTTCCCGGATTTTTTTTAAAGAAGATAGATAAACGTATAAATTATTGTTTTGAAATAGATAGATAGATAGATGATAGATAGATAGATAGATAGATAGATAGATAGATAGATAGATAGATAGATAGATAGATAGATAGATAGAAGTTTATTTATACGCCGCCCTTTTCCCTGGGGGGACTCAGGGCGGCTCACAATCCAAGAGGGAGGGGGAGACAAACTTTTTAACATATAAGACAATACATAATTAAAAAACACAACATTCATACCATTCGGGCGGGTTACAGTCTTAGCCCCAGGCCTGACGGGATAGCCAGATTCTGAGGGCTGTGCGGAAGGTCTGGAGGGTGGTGAGGGTACAAATCTCCACGGGGAGATCGTTCCATAGGGTCGGAGCTACCACCGAGAAGGCTCTCCTCCGCGTAGTTGCCAGTCGGCATTGACCGGCAGATGGAACTCGGAGGAGGCCTAATCGATGAGATCTAATAGGTCGCGTGGAGGTAATTGGCAGTAGGCGGTCTCTCAAGTACCCAGATCCACTACCATGTAGGGCTTTATGGGTGACAAGTAGCACCTTGAAGCACACCCGGAGATCAACAGGTAGCCAGTGCAGCTCGCGGAGGATAGGTGTTATGTGGGTGAAGCGAGGTGCACCCACAATCGCTCGCGCGGCCACATTCTGGACTAGCTGAAGTCGCCGAATACTCTTCAAGGGCAGCCCCATGTAGAGCACATTGCAGTACTCCAGCCTAGAGGTCACAAGGGCACAAGTGACTGTTGTGAGAGCCTCCCGGTTCAGGTAGGGGCGCAACTGGTGCACCAGGTGAACCTGGGCAAATGCCCCCCTGGTCACAGCTGACAAATGGTGTTCGAAAGTCAGCTGTGGGTCCAGGAGGACTCCCAAGTTGCGGACCCTGTCTGAGGGGTATAATGTTTGACCCCCCAGCCTGAGAGGTGGAATACTTGCCGGATTGGTGGGAGGGAAACATAACAGCCACTCGGTCTTATCTGGGTTGAGCACAAGTTTGTTAGCCCTCATCCAGTCCCTAACAGCTTCAAGTCCCTGGTTCATCACGTCCACCGCTTCATTGAGTTGGCACGGGGCGGACAGATACAACTGAGTATCGTCCGCATACTGGTGGTATTTTATCCCGTGCCGCCGAATGATCTCACCCAGCGGTTTCATGTAGATGTTGAAAAGTAGGGGGGACAAGACCGAACCCTGCGGCACCCCATATGTTAGGGGCCTAGGGGTCGATCTCTGCCCTCCAACTAACACCGACTGCGCCTGTCCGAGAGGTAAGAGGAGAACCACTGCAAAACAGTGCCTCCCACCCCCACCTCCCGCAGTCATCGCAGAAGGATACCATGGTCGATGGTATCGAAAGCCGCTGAGAGGTCAAGGAGAACCAGGATGGAGGCGAAGCCTCCGTCCCTGGCTCTCCAGAGGTCATCGGTCAATGCGATCAAAGCGGTATATTTAGAGAACTATACTATTCAAACCAAAAAATGAAGAAATAGAATGAATAAAGTTTGTTTAAAAACTACAATCATAAGGTATTACAGTTTTTCTACTTAACAAGATACTTGTCTTGTCTGCCATCAAGAAAACATGCATGAATCCAGCACACATTACTTGAATGTAATCCATCTGATTTATTGAATAATGATCTCCTATTTTTAAAGAGGCTAATAAACTCAATTATTACTTGCTGGTAAAAAAAAATCATTCTACTTTTTTCCCTTTTATAAAATCAAATTAATCTAACTTACAGAAAAATCAGTAAAAGTTTGGTGCTACTAAATTTGAGTAAACCAAATCATATCTCCAGTATATTTTAGACTGCATAGTGCATCATAGTTTCCCTGGATGCACTAGATTTCATGCCTCTATCACCTTTTATATTCAGTGATTAAGTAGGCTCTTGATAAAATATAAATATTCTAGATTAGTTTTAAGTGCCTGTGGGATAAGATAGAAGTGATGGACTCTAAGTTTTCTAATGACTTATGTAGGCAGGGGAAACTTTTTTTAAAAAAAACTAACCATGATATAACATAGTTCAGAATCACTAATTCCCAATCCATTAAAAGCGGGGTAGGAAAATCAATTATTCTAGCTCCCACATGACCAGTGGAATCTCATCCCTGAGACTTCTTAGAATTATAACCTGAAAGTCAATCGATTTTTTGAACTGCTCCTGGAGCAACCAATTTCAAGGCATACAAATCATCTAAACACAGCTGGTAATGGATCTATAACACTCTTCCTTCTCTGATGATCTCTCACAGAACAACAGAACTGGAAAGATCATAAGATGTTACCTATTTAGTGCAAGATCTGATAGGTGTTCACCCACCTCCGCTGAAGAACTTCACTGGGAAAAAAACCTCATCACTTCTATGACAGCTTGTTCTACAGTCTGTTATTGTGGTCCTCCTGACATCTACCTTGAACCCACTTCTTCTAGTTTTAATCCACTTATTTTAGTCCTGCTCTTTGCATTGAGCAGTGATGGCTAACCTTTTTGCCACTGCATGCCAAAAGCAGGGGAGTATTGGGGGGGGGATTGTGTGCACACCTGCCCTCCTCCCGCCCATGCACGTGCAACACCCCCCCATGCATGCACATGGGAACTCCCACCCTCCCCATTTTTGGCATGCGATGGCACAGTGGACCTGTTTTTTTGCCCTCCCCAGGCTCCAGAGGCTTTCTAGGAGCCTGGGGAGGGCAAAAACAGCCTCTCCTGTCCCCTCACAAGCCCTCCGGAGGCTGAAAACTGCTCATTTCCTGACTTCGGGTTTGCCTGTAGGGCCGTTTTTCTCCCTCCAGAGGCTTCAGGGAAACCTACAGAGGGCAAAAAACAGCCGAAAATGAAGGGCAAAATCAACTGGCCAGCATGCGGAGCTGATAGGGCAACGCCTCGCATGCCCTAAGAAATGGGTCCGCGTGCCACAGGTTCACCATCACAGGCATAGGGAATGCATCCCCTCTCTCTTTCAACAGAGGTCCATTTTCATCATCTTAGTTTTTAAGGTACAAAATCATTTCTGTTTTGTACTCTGAACAAGCCATTGGCATTATAGAAGAACCACAGAAAACAAAAAAACTCAGTGCAGATCTATGGACCATGGGTTTTAATAATTTTGTTTGGAAAATGAGATTCCAAAACCAAGCCAATTTTAATACTCTTTCAAACCACTATAATACTCACTATTGCACCAATAGGTTTTGCAACCTCAACATGTTCTGTGCGTTAAAAAAGTATCAGCTAAGAAGGATAACATTATTTAAAATTCAGTCTTGCTTGTCATCTAATTTCTTTAGCATAAAAATGGTATGTCTGGAGATATACCTGAAGGAGTAAAATTATAGTTGAGAATGCTGGCTTTAAAAAAAACAAAAAAACCCAAAATAATATATACAAGACTATATAAAATATATACACATATTCCACCAGAGACCAATTTTGGTCAAGATTCCACACAGCTACGCTCTGTGTAAAACATAAGCATTATTCCATGAAGTCCTTCCATGATATTCCCATAGTATTCCCTTGAAGCCAGTGAGAAATTGCTGTTAAGATGCCCATGCTGCCAGTTGCTGCATATCTTCATCATCTTCCACCCTCTTCTTTGAAGACGCTGTAACAAAAGATAATAATTGTTCAGCATACTGGAACAACAAAGATACAGTTTTGCTATCTCTGGAAAGATTTAATATTTGGATTACAGGCATTGTGGCTAAAAATTAAGAGACATAGTTTACAAGATGCTTGTAAAGGGATGGCTTCAGTAGATCTACCTTGTTTCCCTGAAAATAGGCCCTCCTTGTATAATAAGCCCTATCAGGTTTTTGAGCATATGCGGTAAAATAAGCCCTCCCTCCAAAAATAAGCCCTCCCCAAAAGTATTGCAACCCGGCAGCAGTCATGACCACCTCATCGCCTTCTGCCTCTCAAAAATAATAAGACCACCCCGAAAATAAGGCGAAGTGCTTATTTCAGGGGTCAAAAGAAAATAAGACCTTGTCTTATTTTTGGGGAAACATGGTATTCAATAAGAATTGGTTGCATAGTTTTACATCAGATCATAAGACTTGAATCCAGATGACCAAATCCAAGTTCAGCTTCGGCTATCGCCAAATGTACACTTTGTGTACAATGTATTCTTTCACCAAAGTCCAATTACTATTAGTAGTCCTCACTTACCAACTGTAATTGGAACTGAGAAAGCCATTGTTAAGCAAGGAATGCACATTATGTGACTGTACCAGCTGATGATAGCAGTTCCAGTTGCCATTATTGGGCAAATCCCATGCAATAGCAGTATTCTGTAGTCAAGTGATCACCAAACTTTCTGCCAGCTTCTCTACTGACTTTGCTTGTTGAAAGCTGGGAGTGAAGTTTGCAAATGGTAATTACATGACACAGAATGCTGTGATGTCACAATTGTCAGCTGGTTGTCAGATGTCCAAATTGGGGCCAGGTGACCATGGGGGCACTGCAACTACAACAACTATGAGAACCAGTCATAAGTACTCCTCAATCACATCAAGAACTTGTATCACTCTTATGTGTCAAGATAGCTACTATTATATCCAGGTATATTAAATTTCTGTGATTGTTCCTTTTCTCTTCAATATTTCTTTAGCCTATTTTCGTAACAGACTAATTAATATAAGAAAGCAATTTACCAGGATGAGAAGGCAGTGGGTTAGCTGGGACACTTGGCAAATGAACATTTTTCATCTTATTATTGAGGTCCTCTTGCTCCAGTTCTTCTAATTCTGCCAATAGTTCATCCTGAAATGTTAAAAATTGCCAGGTTATATTTTAATAAACAATAAAAAAGAACTTCTAATTACAGTTGCCTATACAAACTTTATAAAAGAAACTTTATTTTGGGTTTTCAGCATGCCAGGGACCTATATAAATTGATATTTTTAGGACAAATAAATTTTATTGGAAAGCTGTAGAACAACAGGCAGAACTGATGGGCACAATTAAACATGTCATCAGTTTATAATCCTTGCATTGCCACAAGATACCCAAGTCCAGTCCCCCTTGAATTTCATTGATCCTTATCTAGTGCCAATTTAGTCCTGACCATTAATTGACCAGATTCTTGTGTATGAATAAAACTTCCATGCTGTTATCTTATGAGTGTATCTGATTTTTTGCACCTGACAAGATCTTAACCAAATATTTTAATTAGCTATTGGTTGACAAGAATAAAATAAAATAACATCAAAAATATCAAAATTATATTACTGTAATTGACTAGTTGAATACAAAATATGGTTTACAAAAATGGCTACAAATGTTTAAAAAAAGAGTTGCTCTATTTTGTGATCATTCTACTATCCAAAAATGGCTCAATGGCTTCAGTCTTTCTGGTTTTGTAAAAGGAGAAGTTATTGATATATACTGATAATTGCTTCAGTTAGTGGTAGAAGATTACTCAATTTAAATTAAATTAATGAATTCCACTCCAAATAGCTCAATGTATACTCAGCATATTTACTACTAAATGTGTTCATAATGAAGGCAAAAACTGAAAATTGGGGAAAGAAGAATGGAACAAGACCTCTTGAAGTGTGCCAAGAGTTATTCATCACAAGATACAAAGAAGAGGAGTCCATCTTGTAGTCCACTTTTCATTACCTTCTTCATCAGCTAAAATAGGGAAATTCTTCTATTTTCTGGCTTGAAATACAACCTATAGATGAGGCCCTTAAAACAGAAGTGCTGGTCTGCAAGTGTGGTGAAAATGGAAATAGAGAAAAACATAGTAGCTTGATTGTTATCTTCCTTCCTTGCATGCGGTGGTACACAGCTTGTCTGAATGCCAGATGAGGACAATGCAATGTACTAGAAGAAGGCATCACTGACTAGCTAGGATAAAATTAGGAATGTACCACACATTGCTACTACTTATGTAGATTCCATCCGATATGTCAGAAATCTAGTGATTTTTGTCATAGCAAAAGAGATTATGTATTTGTATTGTTTTGACATAGCAATTTGCATTCTCTTTTGAATATTTTATTCAAGACAGTACAGATTATTTCTGAACAAATGTCTCTTCGGTCATCTGAGAATTCGACTGCGTTGAAGGGAAAATATTGAAGCGCTTAGAAAAGAGCTAGACAACAATTATAGCAAATTTAAAATTAGCAGTAATATTAAGGGCCATTTTTTCTTCTTAGATGTCAAAACATACCTCATCAAAGTCATCACCAACTCTTCTTGTGAGAGCCTCTGTGATTTCTTGGGCAATATCTTGTTGCTCAGTGATATCTTGCATCATGTCATCAATTTTGTCCAAGTCCCTAAGGATAGAAGAAAGAAGGAATTATTTACTCAATTTGCATATGGATAGGATGGCATAGTGGATTCCAGTAAAATTCTGAGATTTTCATAAAAATCAATCATCAAAACAAAAAGCAACAGCAAAATAGAAATTTAAATTTTGGGGAGAGGAATATTAAAAGACTAGAAAAATAGCAAAGATATATTAATAAGTTATCTAGTTTAATAAAACACTTCAATAAAATGAAGCATAATAAATAAAATCTCACTCTTTCTAAGCCATTATCCGGCTTATTAGGGCATTTAAAAGGCCATCCAAGACCAATTTACCCTGTGATAAGGTTAACGTTACAGGAAAATTCCTTCCAGTATTCAAGTTTCAAATTCCATAAGGGCTTTAAATTCTATAAAAGCCCTTCAACTGCTTACAAACAGTAGTAAATAGAGTAATAGAATAATTAAGTAAAACAGATATGTACAAAAGGAGCAATCCCAATCAGTTTTCAAGCAGTTTGCATATTGGAGATTTGGGGAACTCTATTTGGGAACTTAAACATAGTGTCCTAAAGAAGGTCAAGCCATAAAACAGTTATGTTTCATGTCCAGAATATCATGAACTGTTTCTAGTTTTGAGAATCAATTTATGAAAAGTCACTGTGCTATTTTTGGAATGGCTGAACTGGTTTACAGAAGGACCCAAATGTTCAGAAGATTTCTGGAAGATTCTATTTCTCCAGAGTGCATACCTTCCAGATGAACAAATTTCAACTTCCGCAATTGTAAAGAATTATCATTGTAGCAGAAGAATTTTGGAATTTGAAGTCCATTTAACTTCAGGTATATTCAAGTTGGAGAAAGGCAGTAAAAGGGGGAAATGCCAATTAATAATGTTGTGCAGAAATTTCAGTTGAAACAATATGAACAGCTTGCAATGATCTATATGGTTCAGGCCATACTAATCTTAACCTGCTGCAGGACAGGTAAATCCAAGAAAAGAATTAAATTTTAGATTAAAGTATAACAGTAAAATCCTAGCAACTTTATCTATACCTGATGATAAACCTTAGCATCATATACAAGAATGAAACATCTCAATTCTTATGTAAGAAAGAAACCCACCAAATAATGTAAGAGTTAAGGTTATTTTCTGTGGGGTTTGACAATATTTTCCACTTACATATTTTCGTGTACTTTTTTCATGGCTTGAGCAGCATAGCCCATATTCTTGAACACTTCTGTATTTGTGTAGGAATTTTCAAGAGCCTCCCGCTGGAATTCAATAGTGGAAAGAGTCCCATCAATTTGGCTCAAGTGTTTTTCATACCTCTTTTTTCTCTTCAGTGCCTGCAGTGCAGCTGGGGAAGTAAGAACAGGGGAAAGTATCTCATAAGCCAATGCAAAAGATACCGATATGCCTGATTTAATTCTTAACAAAAAACCAGAGACAGATTGCCACTTTTAATGAGCAAGCAAATTCAGTAAAACTAAATAAACAGAGTTGGAAAATCTATCAGGACACCCACCCAACTGAAAACCATTTTCTCAGCTTACTACAATAGCAAAAGAATTTGGTGATTCAAAGCAGGTTAATTGTTCTTCCTTCTGAAAGGCATTGTATTATATTATTAACTTTTTACTATTTAACAATAAAATTACTGCTATAAATCAATCAGCAATATATTTGGTTGTACAAGGTAAACCTTAAGAGATGTGGTCTCCACCATATATTTTAAAATAGAGGTCCAATATAATCTCTTCCTATTAGCTATAGTGATTTAAGGCATCAGGTTACCTTTAAAACAAATGGAGGGGAGGAAGAATCCAAGATCATTTTGGATAGCAAGATGGATAGTATATAAATTTAATAAATAAATACATTTCCTTATTGGGGCTGAGTGGAATTTTGTTAATCAATATAACAAATTTAGTAACAGCCCCGCTCCCAATTACAAAAAAAAGATTGTTCTGTGATAATGGCCATGTATAGATGAGGAGGCATATAGAGAGAGCAAGAAGAAATAACACAGAAGCAGTTTGTAACAGAGAGAGAGATATAGAGAAGCAGCTAGCTAAAAGCTGAAAATATATTGGATATGTATTAGATGCACAATTTCTGTATGGAACATATCTCTTTGTTACAAAGTTATTTTGAATTTTTTCTCCAACCTATAAAAGTGACAATAGAACCCTTCCTCCCCCCAAAAAGCCAAATTCTAGCATCCTTGAGCATCAGAGGTGGGTTCCTACCTATTCGGTCCATTTCGGCCAAATAGGTAGTAACTCCGGCAGACATGTGACCCTACCGGTTCTATGATCGGCGGCGCCATCTTGATTTTCTGTTCTGCACATGCGCAGAACAATCATTTTAAAAATATAATTTTTATTGGTTTTTTAAGGTTGTGCACATGTGCAGATTGTTGCAAATGAAAACGCGTGTGCACACGCAAATTTGTTTACTACCGATCCGGTAGTAATGGCGGCCAGAACCCACCCCTGTTGAGCATCTCATTTGGGGGGGGGGGAGAGATTGCAAGAGTACAACAGCTTATGACAAACACTGGTGTGCAGAAATATTGCCTCCATTCACATTTAAAAACTGGAAAGATGAGTGAAATGTGACTATAGCCATCACTCAAAAATAATGGAGAATCAATGGAACTCCTAGGTTTCTAGGGTCCAAAGTATGAGAATTCTAAACTTCAAGAGTTTTTTAGTCCTATTGGACCGGGTAAACAACTACCACATGTCCTGAGGTCATGTCACATTTTCCCAAAGCATTACAGTACTTAACTTGTGACTTCAAAATATTTAGAAATAAATGGTAGACTGCTTTAACTTGAAAACAACTGTAGTTCTTTTTAGGGAACACAACGTTCCCTGATCTCACATATTAGCTCCATGGCTTGTGTAAATTTAATTTTAGAAATTGTAATTGGACCACAAGTATCATTTTGTGTGAAACAGGAGTGCCATATTGCCACTCCCTGTTTTGAACTATAAATGGATAAGAATATACAACTATTTTGCTTTTATGCAATAAATACTATCCTCAAGGTTTCCAAAGTTTAATACCAGTTAATGAACATATTAGCATTGCAAAGTCAAAAACTGAACTGTTGAATTCAGAGTCACCACAAGTATGATCTGACAGCAATGGTCTACTAAGGCAATGATTCTCAATTTCAGCAACTTTCAAACGTGCTGCGGACTTCAACTCCCATCTGAAAGTTGTTGATATGGAGAAACATTAGTCTAAGTTTTGACAATACCACTACTTTATTTATATGGTAAATGTGCATGTCTTGTTTATTGGACTAGCAACATAACCAAGTCCTAACCCCTAGATTTGACAGTACTGGAAATAAACTTACATCAGAGAAACTCTGAGACTGGAAAAAGAAGATTCCCCACTCCAAACAGTCAGAAAAAGTAGAAAGACAGATAAGGAGAATCAGAGACTAATCTGAAATAAACATAATGCCACAGGTCATAATTCTACATAATTTTGTTTTAAACCAGGGATTTGTGACCTTCTGAAAATCTTTAACTTTTATAAAGTTTATAAAATTATACAATGTATAAGATTATGATTTACATTATAAAATTTAAAGATTTTCGTAGTGCATGTGTGTATATATTTTCTGACATAAACTTTTTCTTTAAAAAATGAGTATCAAGCAAAAACAGGATTTACTGTAGATACATATATTTATAGACATTTTAGGTACTTCTCCAGTTAAGAAAATGAGATCAATGGGGGTTTTTTTGCCCAAATAATTCCGTACATTAAAACTACAATTATAACTATAATCATAATAGAAGGCAGATGCCATGAAAGATTCATAAAAAATCATTATTTCATTAATTTCTGCAAATATGGCAAAACGTCCTAAATCCCCATAATATTTAATTACTGTTATTTGTTTAGTACTATAGGCTGCTTTAACTACAAATACTCTAAATAACATACATTTTGAATTGATGGGATTTTAAAAAAATATAATAATATAAAAGAAAAGCAAATAACCTTAATAGTCTTCACCCAGATCACAGTGAAAATATTCTTTCCCACAATAAAATCCATACTGATTTTATGCAGAGTGCAGAGTGAGAAACTACCGTACCTTATGTCAATCCCTAGGAAATAGCGCACTTATCAACTCTTCTGGGAGGACTGCCAACACAGCAACAGGTTTTCCAGAGAGGAAGGACAAAAAGTTCCTTTACATAAACAGACATGTAATTCTCCAGTTTCCATTAATATTTGCAAGTTTAAATTCCATTTATTTCATGCTTTCCTAAAACTAACTAAATAGAATATTGAAAATTAATGGACAGTTTTTAATTCTACCTGTAAAAATTGTATCAAGTGAAAATTAAGCTATATCTTGAAAGGAGATTCTGGAATTTTGTAGTTTATAAAATAAAAAGGCCTTGTTCCTGCCAACCAATGTTTTCATAAGTATGTAAACACAGAACCTCTTTAATTATTTAAACACTGTATATGTAATTGAATTTTAAAAATGGTGGATGGGCTATAGTCCTCACCTATGAAACTATGTATTCTTATGATGCTTGTGCTGTGAGTGTCTCATATGTGCCACCTATACAGGCTACTATAAAATTAGTTTGCAAGATTGTTAGTGATTTAAAGATAATTACATAAAGGAAAACTAAAATGATAATGATTTAAATCATAGTTCATCCATAATTCAAAAGTTTTTATGTTTTCAATTATCACCAAACTAAAAACAACTGGACTCTATCTCCAGTCTACAACACAGTCCTTTCAGCAGTTCCAAGAAGACTCCACATCCATTTGCTCAGGTGACCCTGATGACACAGATAAACTTCCAAGTAGCCTCAATGACTCTAAAAAATGCAAATGACTAGTCTGCAAGGAGTATAAATCCTTCCATTCCCCATCCAATCAGAGCTGAAGAAACTTCTTGGATGAGAAGCAAAACATCTTCAAAAAAAACCGCAGGAAAGTTCAGTTGCCTCTTTAAAAAGCACCTTTGAGACAACCGTGACCTGGATGACTGAGAATCTCCATAAATAATAACAACAATACATTCATTTTACTTTCTCTCGTCTCAAAAATGCAACACTTGCTAAAACTAGAAAAATAATTTTGGAAAAAACATATTTAAGGTATTTATATTACCACACAATTTCTATAATTTCTAGGCAATGTATAAGAAAACTGACTACAATAAAAACAACAAGAACGTGGAAGCTAAAACAAAACAGTGTAATAAACTGCTAGATACCAAAACCATTTGAATAGAAGGTTGGAAAGCTGAAGGAAATAGCAGCAGTTAGCAGGTAGACTTATACAAATAATCCTCAACTAAAACCATTTATTTAAGTGACCAGTCAAACTTATGACACCACTGAATAGTGACATATTACAGGTCTTTGTACATACAACAGTTGCACATCCCTGCAGTCACATGACCACAATTCAGGTACTTGTTCTGTGTTCCTAACTAAAGTTGTTCTTTCTCAAAAAAGTAGAAAACAATAGATTCCTGTTAATATTTACCCATTTTTGTCTTGGGTGAAAAATGATAGAAAAGATGTGGGAGTATCAAAGCTAAATCTTGTACCACTGTTATAATGATCCAAAGCTAAATCTCCCACATCATAAGCAAATGAGTGTCAGCAGTTAACAAGACTTTTACGTGGCACCCAAAAATCTATTTAAGTATCTTGATCTTGGATTGTAATTGTAATTTAATAAATTTATATGCCGCCCAATCCCGTAGGACTCCGGGCAGCTTACAAAGTAGAAGAGTAAAAATAAAAAGTTAAAATATAGGGAAAGAGCAAACAGATTTAAAAGCAACACACCATATACTCAACCTAGGTGGGGCTGGACCTCGTTCATGGGGTCAACAGCCCCAGGCCTGCCAGAACAGCCAGGTTTTAGTGGCTTTTCGGAAGGCCGAGAGAGTGGGAAGGGTCTGGATCTCTGCG